AAACCGTTTCTCTTTTTTTCTTGATTTTTACAAAGGGTCTTCAGTGTGTACATCATGGTCGGGTGTCACCATTTCTCAGGAGGTTGCACAATATGATCTTGGACATAACAGTCCTCAGGGAACATGGACAGTCTTAAAACAATTTGATCTCTCCCTACTTCCAAGCTATTTTATAATCAAAAGCAGAATCTTATTCCCTTCATCAGCACTTACAAAATCCTAAATCTGTTTTTTGACAAAACGTATAACCCCACTTAAATTACCCTTCTTAGAATGAATGTCTTTGGCCCTCTGTGGAGTATGTTATGGAAGACACTGGTAGGCCAGCTTGTTTAGTCATAAAGCAAATTACTGTAAGGACCTCATCATGGGCCATCGGCAGAGTCTGACCCCCAGACTTTCAGCTTGCAAAGCCCAGACCTTTAATATATGAGTTAAAGGAGTAACTCCATTAGCTGGCAACAGCAACAGGCTGTTATCCTCTGTGCAGACAAGCCACAAGAGGATGGGCTAAGGCAAAGAATAAAATTCCACAGCAAAATGTAAGATTAGTGCTGCCAGATTAGTATTCATTCATAACACCACAATGGCATAAAGACCCCATATGCAGAGTTGGAACTGCCCCACTGCAATGGGGGTACCAATGCCAATAGCATGTGCAAACCATCAGTATCACCCAGATAAGTGGGGGAAATGGGAATGCCTGAAAGGTTTCTGCTGTCCCATGTGGTGGAGGCTCCATTATCTATGGATCCCTTGCTCAGACCAGGTTTGTCCACCCCTTGCACTTCCCTGGCCTACTGATGGAATGATGAGGCCAATTTGGGATCCTGTAACCCCAGTGGGAGTTTTGCAAGATATCTGCAAAAGGGGGTGCTCTGGCTCCAGGCTTCCCATCTCCATGTTCCTTTCAAGTAAGTCTATTTGGGGGAAGGTACCATTTCATTGTCCTGTATCATTTACTGCTTTTCTTCTCCAGATCTGTCCTATCTATTGCAATATTTGCAATTTTTCCAAATGTTTAACTTCCACCTAGTGGGTAGCGCATGGAATCAGAAGTCAAGAAACATGAGTTCTATTTACAGTTGCCACTGAATTGCTGTGACCTTCCATAAATCACTTACTTGGGGGAAGGGGGGGTTATTTCCTCATCAACAAAACTGGGGATATTAATACTTCCCCACAACTGTAAAGCACTTGGAGATTTTCAGATAAAAAGGTATTATGTAAGTGCAAAGTATTACTAGTAACCATTTGAACACAGGTACAACAAATCAATGTATTTGATACTGAAAAACCTTGGGCCCAGTACTCCCACTGCAGAGTATAAATAACTCCATCCTGTGATGTTACTCATATCAGATTTCTGTAATCTTGTTCTTCCTTTAAAAGATGTTCCCAGTGCTAAGTTAACAACAAGAACAAAATGGAAACTGTATTTTACCTCTACCAGAAATTATGCCTAGAGATTTAATGTAGCATGCACTAGATCAGCAGTGTTCTCTATCCAGTAATGAATTACTACGTCGACCTATGAACTTGAGCATTTGCCTGCAACTGACTGTCACTTTAGGAATGGTGATTATCACAGCATATGTACCACTGAAATCTAGAGTTTTGTTGCAGAGGATAGAGTGGTTGTCTAAAAGAGGAAGTTCAAGTTAAAATGATCAAAGTTCTGCAAACACTGACTTCATGATCCCATAATTAAATTGCAGGCAAATGTAGAACAAAGAACCCCACAGCAAGCTTAACAATGTGAAGTTCAGATGGATATGCCAGTTATGAGTAACCAGTTAATATTGCTAAATATTACTGAAGTTAAAAGGAAGGAAATTAAAAGAGCTAAATTAAAAATAAACCTGTCCTCACTGTAGGATAGGGTTGCTTTTTTTAAACCAGTGAGGGTAAAAGAGGATGGCTTGCCTGTTTTGGAGTTGAATGGATTGCATATTAACTCATTTTGAAAGAAACTCTTTGGTCCCTTCCAGTCCTTAGTAAGGACAACAGGATTGGGCCCAACGTTTCTGAGAGCATTCAGGTTAATACAAGTTATGAAACTTTATTCCAAGAAGTGTCAGAGAAAATGTGGTAAACCAAAAAAATATTGCCACCATATAAATCATGAAATAATGTTAGGGTTGGATTCTGAAATCCTTATTCTTCCTTAGAAGCACCTTTACCCTGCCAGTAGTCCCACTGAAGACAATGTTATCAGAAAATGCACATACACATTTTATGGAAAAAATACAAGGTAATGTTTTGATTAAAAAATCAGTTTTTTTGACTAATTATATTATGTTCAATAGTAGCCCAGAGAAACACATAATGAATTGAACCTACTTTTGTAATCATGTTTTTCTATGATGAATGATTTGTCAGTAACTTTAAATGGAATTCCAATTGAACACTGTGTGAGATACATTTAAAATAAATAATCAAAGTCGCCTTATTTACAAGGGTTGTCTCTACCACCAGCTACAGATTGTTTTAAAGATTACTAAAGAGAATTGAAGGGAAACTTAGGTAAATGCAAATCCTGAGCTTGAGCAATCTTTTAAAACAGCCAGGCTTCTGTCAAAAGAGTGGCATTAATTTTTATTTCAATTTTGGATACATTGTAAATGTAAATGATGGATCAAAAAAATCCAATCAGTGAATAAAGGAAAAAGGTGAAAATAAAGTCAAGGGAAAGGGATAACATGAAAAGGGAGCTTTCCCCTCAGCGCTGCAGGAGCATCAATATATTCTGCTGGAAGAGTGAACACCACAGATCCTGCTTATATTTAAGAGGATTGAAAAACCTAACCACAGAATCAGCAAGCTTCAAAAAAAAAAAATTTACTTCGTCTTTTAATCAAAACCTAATCAGAAGGCCTAAGTGATGATTACCTTCTTCTTTCAAAAAGAAAAGGAGTACTTGTGGTCACTGAAGCAGGCTGTTAGGCAGACTTCAGCTCCTGTCTATGCCAAGGACAATGTAAACATTACAACACTGAAAAGGTATGGTCAGGGATTACCCTTATTTCCAAATAAACTCTTCTCTGTAGGGTGGCCTGTTGCAAGTTTACAATGGTTGTCTAAAATCAAAGATATATTCACTGGATTCCATACAATGTGAGACCCACAGAAAGAAGCATCCACCTTTTGTTAAGGACACCTTTATTACCAAGACCCTTTTAGCAACTGTTCAGTGTAATTACTTATTCGGGGGATGCAGCAAAAGGCTAAAGTTACCCTTATTAAAACATAATTAAGGTTACAGTATTTATAGACCGCTGCATTATTAACATTAATATATTTCTTTGTTTTAAAAGGAAAACCATTAAATCCCATAAAAAGCCGAATATTCCTACAGTTGGCTGCTAACTGAAATTCTTACTCCTCAAGTGCCAGGTGTATCATTACCTAGGCCCTGGAAAAACACAAATAACTAGAGCAAGTTGATCGAGACCAAGAATCGATCATGTTTGAGAATGAAGAGCGGGCCAATATTCGGAGTCCCACCCCTCCACGCCCAGTTCTAATGCCCCGATTGCACAGCTCTGTCCAGAATGACTATCCAGTCAGTGCAAAGTCACAACCCACATTCATTTCACATGCAAGGCAGGTGCTTTTCCACCACCGCCACCAGACGTGCTGCTGAGCCCGTACAGAACCGTTTACATGTTTGGATTAAATTCCTGGGGGAGAAGGAAAGTAACTGCCGAACAATGCAGAGCGCCCGAGAACTACCCGAGCCAAGGTGTGTCCTTACAGGGGCTGCAAAAGGAAATGCAGAAACTTTAGGGGGGGGGGATGCCGGATTAGTGTAAAAGGAGGGAGGGAGGGACGGGATTACCCAACAGGAGAGTGTGGAGACTAGGCAGGGGCAGGATGCGGTTTCTTCGCGTGGGTGTTGGAGCTTGCACGGCCCTAGCGATCTCTGCTCAAATAAACTGGTTAGTCTCTAAGGGGCCACAAGTCCTCCTTTCCTTCCCTTTGTGGTCAGATCTCTTCCCTCATCTCTTCCCCTCCCCGGCCTTCCCTGGTTCTCCTTTATCTTCGCTACCCATTCCCACGTCTCCGGCTCCTTCGCCGAGCTGTAACTCACTAGCTAGCGCGCCGCACCGAGGCTGCAGCGGCCCCAGCACTCGCCTTGCGTCGGTCTCTCGCCCCCGGAGGCTTTGCCTGAACACACTCACTCGCTCGATGAATCCCTCCTCGCCCGCGCTACCCGGCGCACAGACGCACACAGCAGCCACTGGGCATTCAGGGGTCAAGCGATCATCTGAACGAAAGAGGGGGAGCCGCAGAAATCTCGGGAGGGAAAGCCAAGAAGACACAACTCGCCAAGGCAGCGGGCAGCAGGGAGGATGGGGATTTACACTGATAAAAGAAAGTCCCTCAGACTGAAATGACATACCAGAGTCTGGTCTGGAGCAGGAAACGTCGTGTTGGTTACTCATGGAGATTAAACACACACACACACACACACACCGCAAAAAGATTCCCCTTATCTTCCAATCTGAACCCTAATATCCACGATTCAGTCTCCTCTTGGTAACTCTTGCTAAAATGAACCTCCCAGTGAAATTAATTTGCTTTTAGTGGAGGGAGGACCTGCTTCTTTTTGTTCTTGTTGTTGTTCCACTGTCGAGTTCTCCCTTGGGGAATTTTAACTACTTATCTTTCCTTTTTAAATGCAAATAAAGGCTTTTGTGTGCAATTTTCCACAGGGCTTTTCAGAAATACTGCCCTGCTCCAGAAAGTGCTTTCAGAAGATTTATTTTAAAACAGGAGATGGGTGTTTTAAAACACTTACCAAAATATAGTCCAAACATGTGCACAACCGAACAAACTCTTAAATATAGCGATGCGAGTAGCTGCGAATATCAATATTAACGGAAGAAAGCAACCGTATGCATTATAAAAACTCAAAAGGACGAGGGGATTGCTCTGAAAAAGAAGTTATTGGTAACCCACAGCAAATGGTGTTGCCTCAAATAGCTCACCCTTACCTTATCACTACTCCTCGTTTGCACCTGAGCTGCAACCATAAATACTTCGAGGTACTCAACGAGAAGCTAAATTGATGGCTGAATTTAAGCAATTTCGTCACGCGCCTCTTTTATAGGCTCAAAAGAAGAATGTCCTCTTCAGTATCCATTCGCTCCCCCAAAGAATTCCAATTTTCTTGAAAGAGGCAGAAACATATATCTGTCTATATACAAACGGGTACTGTAATATATCCAACAAAGGGGGGAGGGGGAAATCAGAGAGGTGTCACTACAAACTTGGCAAGCAAGACGTATCCACGGATTTCCTAGCACGAATGCAAAAAACTGATGCAAAATACAAAATTCCGAGGGAGATTTAGAAGCAAAAACGCCACACTGGAAAAATGCATGAAAAGAGCACAAACGGGACGGCTGGATAAATCTTTCCTAGCTATACATCCGTCGGCAAAGCGAGCGATCGCCTCCCAAATCCGAGCCAGTGCAGCTGCTGCAGTTGAGTTGCTTGCTCTCTCCCTGATGCTGCTGCTACCTGTAGAACACACACACACACACACACACAGAGGGACCCACAGCTGTGCAACATGCAGGCTGCTGCTGGCTGTGCAAAAACGAGGAGCAGGTTAACCAATTAGCAACGTGCCTCCCTTTCCCTTCCTCCTCTGCTCCCTCACAGTGGGGCCTGGATTCCGGGGCGGGGAGGGGGGGATCCCGCGTGTGTGTGTATGCGTGTGCGTCCTGCTCGCGCTCTCTCTCCCTCTCTCGTGTCTCTCTCACACTCCCTCTCTCCTGGCTCCAGACTTGGCCAGCAGCAGAGCGGTGGCAGCACTGAGCGTGAAGGGCCCAGACGTCAGATGTGACGTGCACCAAAGACACAGAGATGCACGTGAGTGAGGAGAAGCAGCAGCAAGAGCAGCTGCTGAAAGCCTCTGCCGCTGAAAGTTTCCCTAGAGCTGTTGGTTTGTCCGACCACTTTCCCCAGCTTCCTCCCCCTTTATTTTTCCAGTCTTTAAACGCAGGAAACAGGACCATCAGGACAGGGAATCCATACAGCATGCTGGGATGGGGGAGGGAGGTGTCTGCTTCAATATATCCCCTTCTCTAGGCCTTTCTCCCCCTCTAAGTTCAGGAACAGAGATGGTCTGACAGGAAAACACATCATCCAGTCAGTCAGTTTGTTTAATATTGTGTATGGAGAGAGAAAGAAAGAACAGCTGGACTGATCACCACCTATTTCCCCTTTTTCCATTCTATACATGCAGGAGCGCATTAAGCAGGCAAGAAGGCCAATGGCATTTTGGGATGTATAAGTAGGGGCATAGCGAGCAGATCGAGGGACGTGATCGTTCCCCTCTATTCGACATTGGTGAGGCCTCATCTGGAGTACTGTGTCCAGTTTTGGGCCCCACACTTCAAGAAGGACGTGGATAAATTGGAGAGAGTCCAGCGAAGGGCAACAAAAATGATTAGGGGGCTGGAACACATGAGTTATGAGGAGAGGCTGAGGGAGCTGGGATTGTTTAGCCTGCAGAAGAGAAGAATGAGGGGGGATTTGATAGCTGCTTTCAACTACCTGAAAGGGGGTTCCAAAGAGGATGGCTCTAGACTGTTCTCAGTGGTATCAGATGACAGAACGAAGAGTAATGGTCTCAAGCTGCAGTGGGGGAGGTTTAGATTGGATATTAGGAAAAACTTTTTCACTAAGAGGGTGGTGAAACACTGGAATGCGTTACCTAGGGAGGTGGTAGAATCTCCTTCCTTAGAGGTTTTTAAGGTCAGGCTTGACAAAGCCCTGGCTGGGATGATTTAACTGGGAATTGGTCCTGCTTTGAGCAGGGGGTTGGACTAGATGACCTTCTGGGGTCCCTTCCAACCCTTATATTCTATGATTCTAAGAAAGCCCATCACTCACCATGACATAGAATCATAGAATATCAGGGTTGGAAGGGACCTCAGGAGGTCATCTAGTCCAACCCCCTGCTCAAAAGCAGGACCAATCCCCAATTAAATCATCCCAGCCAGGGCTTTGTCAAGCCTGACCTTAAAAACTTCTAAGGAAGGAGATTCCACCACCTCCCTAGGTAACGCATTCCAGTGTTTCACCACCCTCCTAGTGAAAAAGCTTTTCCTAATATCCAACCTAAACCTCCCCCACGGCAACTTGAGACCATTACTCCTTGTCCTGTCCTCTTCTACCACTGAGAATAGTCTAGAACCATCCTCTCTGGAACCACCTCTCAGGTAGTTGAAAGCAGCTATCAAATCCCCCCTCATTCTTCTCTTCTGCAGACTAAACAATCCCAGTTCCCTCAGCCTCTCCTCATAACTCATGTGTTCCAGACCCCTAATCATTTTTGTTGCCCTTCGCTGGACTCTTTCCAATTTATCCACATCCTTCTTGTAGTGTGGGGCCCAAAACTGGACACAGTACTCCAGATGAGGCCTCACCAATGTCGAATAGAGGGGAACGATCACGTCCCTCGATCTGCTGGCTATGCCCCTACTTATACACCCCAAAATGCCATTGGCCTTCTTGGCAACAAGGGCACACTGCTGACTCATATCCAGCTTCTCGTCCACTGTCACCCCTAGGTCCTTTTCCGCAGAACTGCTGCCTAGCCATTCGGTCCCTAGTCTGTAGCTGTGCATTGGGTTCTTCCGTCCTAAGTGCAGGACCCTGCACTTATCCTTATTGAACCTCATCAGATTTCTTTTGGCCCAATCCTCCAATTTGTCTAGGTCCCTCTGTATCCTATCCCTGCCCTCCAGCGTATCTACCACTCCTCCCAGTTTAGTATCATCCGCAAATTTGCTGAGAGTGCAATCCACACCATCCTCCAGATCATTTATGAAGATATTGAACAAAACCGGTCCCAGGACCGACCCCTGGGGCACTCCACTTGACACCGGCTGCCAACTAGACATGGAGCCATTGATCACTACCCATTGAGCCCGACAATCTAGCCAACTTTCTACCCACCTTATAGTGCATTCATCCAGCCCATACTTCTTTAACTTGCTGACAAGAATACTGTGGGAGACTGTGTCAAAAGCTTTGCTAAAGTCAAGAAACAGTACATCCAGTGCTTCAGGATTGATTTTTTGAAGAGCTGCTCCATGATTTTTCCGGGGACTGAGGTGAGGCTGACTGGCCTGTAGTTCCCAGGATCCTCCTTCTTCCCTTTTTTAAAGATTGGCACTACATTAGCCTCTTTCCAGTCATCCGGGACTTCCCCCGTTCGCCACGAGTTTTCAAAGATAATGGCCAATGGCTTTGCAATCACAGCCGCCAACTCCTTTAGCACTCTCGGATGCAACTCGTCCGGCCCCATGGACTAGTGCACGTCCAGCTTTTCTAAATAGTCCCTAACCACCTCTTTCTCCACAGAGGGCTGGCCATCTATTCCTCATGTTGTGATGCCCAGCGCAGCAGTCTGGGAGCTGACCTTGTTAGTGAAGACAGAGGCAAAAAAAGCATTGAGTACATTAGCTTTTTCCACATCCTCTGTCACTAGGTTGCCTCCCTCATTCATTAAGGGGCCCACACTTTCCTTGGCTTTCTTCTTGTTGCCAACATACCTGAAGAAACCCTTCTTGTTACTCTTAACATCTCTCGCTAGCTGCAGCTCCAGGTGCGATTTGGCCCTCCTGATTTCATTCCTACATGCCCGAGCAATATTTTTGTACTCTTCCCTGGTCATATGTCCAACCTTCCACTTCTTGTAAGCTTCTTTTTTATGTTTAAGATCCGCTAGGATTTCACCGTTAAGCCAAGCTGGTCGCCTGCCATATTTACTATTCTTTCGACACATCGGGATGGTTTGTCCCTGTAACCTCAACAGGGATTCCTTAAAATACAGCCAGCTCTCCTGGACTCCTTTCCCCTTCATGTTAGTCCCCCAGGGGATCCTACCCATCCGTTCCCTGAGGGAGTCGAAGTCTGCTTTCCTGAAGTCCAGGGTCCGTATCCTGCTGCTTACCTTTCTTCCCTATATTCCATCGTGCTCTTCCCCAGCAATGCCCATTGCTAATGGGGGTATGTGTGTGTTTTCTACACCCTATGCCCCACCTTAGAATGATCATAATCAGTTCAGTTCCACACTGTGCATGCCCAAGACACAGAGAGACCACCCGGCCTCATCTTTCCTATCTCTTTTTCCAGTCTGAGAATTTCCAAGAGCTTTACCCATTTTAATTAATGGGGATCCACAGATCCTCTGGTATAGTATTAATTACTATTATCATTGCCCATAGAACAAATTTTACAGGTGATTGATGGAGGGTCAGAGAGGCTAGCTAACAGGTCGCACAGAGGCAGTGGCAGAGCTGTGAATGGCATCTCGGAGTCCTATCTTCCAGGTCTTGTCTAATGCAAGCAGCTGCATCAGAGCAAAATGGGCTCTGGTGCTACTTTAGCCAGTAAATTACCTTGGTACCCGTGCAAGCTCATTTTATACCAGTACAGTACTTCTGTAAAGGAAGGGTTGTACCACAGGTGATACATTGGTGTTACAACCCCAATGCCAGAAAATCCCAGGATAAACAAGGGACAAAGTCTCTTGCTTTAACTACTACTATTGTTATATCTTCATAAATGTGCAAGTTGCTTAACAAACAGATACAAGAGTCTCTGGCCTGAAGAGTTTACAATGTGAGTTAGGACGTGACTTGAGTGAACAAGACATTGGGGATGTCAGGGCAGAGGGGAAAAGAATGAATGGAAATCAAGAGTAACAGCAGTATCATATGGTACTAGTTGATGACCCCGGGAAGACCTCTACATACCCCTGTTTGAGAACCACTGGCTTACAGTATGTTTACGCTGCAATGTAAGCCGAGCAGTCTTCGAACTCAGAATCGAGGCACCCACCCCTTCCATTTACACACAAGTTGTGCTAACCCACCCTGAGCCCAGACATCTACACTGCAATTTGAAAGCCTGGCCACAGCCAGAGTCAGCTGATACAGACCAGCTGCCAGTGTTTTATTGCAGTGTAGACATACCTGAACAGGTAGGCAGAGACTAAATCCTGCAGGCCCTCAAAAGCCCCTCAACGCTTCCTTGTGAAAGGTTTCAGAGTAACAGCCATGTTAGTCTGTATTCGCAAAAAGAAAAGGAGTACTTGTGGCACCTTAGAGACTAACCAATTTATTTGAGCATGAGCTTTCGTGATGAAGTGAGCTGTAGCTCACGAAAGCTCATGCTCAAATAAATTGGTTAGTCTCTAAGGTGCCACAAGTACTCCTTTCCTTGTGAAAGAAAATCTGACACAGCATTTCCTATTGAGACAGACAGGTAAGCGAAACATCACAGCCCAGCAATTTGTTATATTGCTGATGTTGTGTGTAAGTGTGGCCTGTCTCATGAGTGTGATTTCAAACAAAGTAAAGTAGGAGAGGAGGGACATAAAAGTGGTTGAAGGAGGAGGCATAAGGCTGAGCCCAGCAAAGATTTCTCACAGTTCCTGTGTGAGACAGGCATGCACAAAAGCTATTTATAGAAAGGGCAAAATATCATTGCTGAGAAATCGGTGCAACTGGATGAACAGATGGAGTGAAATGTTTTGTTCGTTAATAGTAGTGCTGGATGCAGAGCAGCCTGGAAATCCTGCAGATATTCCAAAAGGTATCACACATGGATGTGTTCAAATATGGGTTATTTTTTAGCGCTGGAGTCCATGTAACATATGGGGTTCTAAAGCAGAAATCTGTCCAGCAATCCCAAAAGTTTGGTGCATGGAAATGC